TCACTTCATCTTTACTTTGTAGGGGAAACACAAAATTTGTTAGTTTCAACTGTGTCGGGTCTGCAGGTAGTCGACGTCGGGGTATAATATAGTCATTAGGGAGCCTTGAGAAGGAGTAGTCTACCCGTAGGATTCTAACATGTTCTTTGAAATCCTCCTGATCTTTGGGCAGGAAGGGAAACATTTCTTTTAATCTAGGTGTTAGTTCCTGTGGCGTACAAGGTAGAGGTTGTTTTGGGGCAGGCAGATCGAAGTATTCCGAAGGGATTTGTTTGAACAGATAAAATTCCTGCAGAGATTCTCTGTATTGACCCAGTTTCTGTAAGTTTGCTCTGTTTGTAATAGGGAAAAGATGCCGCACTTCATCTCTTAATTGCTTGTACGAGGTAGGAAGAGGCTCCCTGATATCTGCTATATATGTATCTGGCATTTTGTCGAAAGAGAATATTAACCGTAAGGTTTTAGCGACTGGTACAGTAAGCTGTCTGTTTGTAATTGGTAGGAAGAATGGGATTGCTTTCTGTAAGTAGCTAGGAATGAGTTTTGGTTCTGCAGGTAAGGGTATTAGAGCTTCTGCAATAAGGTTTGAAATTGCCCGCCGTGTTGTTTCGAATTCCAGATTTTTGGAGATTTTTGCAAATCCTGCCAGGTAGAATATGTATCTTGTAATTTCCCATGCGTCTAATTCATTGAAGTCCAAGTTGGTTAAGTAGTCTAGGGCTAATTTTGCCCGTAATAATTCAAAGATCTGGTCTCGGTTTTTCTTGTTTGTAGCTAGCACGTCATGTTGTTTTTTATATACTTCTAAAGCATTGAGGAATAGGTTGTTGAATTCCTTTTGATGTTGTGGTCTAGTTGCTAGGACTCTAGTAAAGCTTCTAAAGAAGGCTGTATCCCGATGAAAGAATTTTGCTGTTATTGCAGTTGGGATATAGTTATTAGTAGGTCTTGTAGAGAGCTTATATCTGACTAGTTCTTTTAGAGCTTGAAGTGAGGTAAGTGCATTTTTCATTTTCTGACGGGTCCAGATTGTTGTGTCGAATACCTCAAGTCTTTCATGTCTGATTTCTTTTAGGACAGCTTGTGTGCATTCTCGCCATTCTTTTTCTTTGTCACTAATAAAGTATCTATTTGGTGTCTTTTTGGTTCTATTTGGGAGATTTCCTGTAACTGCTTGGCTATATGATATTTTTGCTTGTGGCTGTTCGTCTAACACTGTGTCGATCGATCGAGTCTCTTCATTGTCTTCATTACTTGGGTCTATCATATCCTGGTCCATTTCTATGTTAGGTAAGGTGTTTATTGGACGGTTGGGTCCGGAATTTAGTTCGGAAGGGGTCGGATTGTTTACATCTTCCTGTTGTTTTGTTGTTGGGGGAACTGTATCGGATGATATCGGGTCCTGAATCGGGAACTGCTCTATTTGTTTGTCTGTGGGAAAATTATGTGTCAGGAGTTGTTCGGGGTCCCAGATCGGGTTTGTTGTTGTTACAGGCGATGACATCATTTCTGTCAGATTCGGGGGTAAGCTAGAATCTGCCATTTCCCCAAAATTTTCCTCAGTCAAGTTATTATCAGTTGTAAATAGTGTAGAGGTTGAAGTATCCTCATCTGTTTTTCGTTTCTTTTTTTTATTTGATGTATCCATTAGGCTACAATCTACTATGTCAACGTGTATAAGGCGTGTTTTATTTCTCTGGAAGCTTGGCACACGTTTTTTGTCGTTCTTGTTGTTGTTCTTGCTAGTTGCCGACGTAGTCGGCAACAGAGTTTGAAAGGAGACTGGAGTACAGAAAGCTGTCTCTCTATTCCGTTTAATTTTAATCTTTAGTTGTCTAGTTGTGTTGTTATTTAATGGTAGTTAAATAGTTATAAAGTAAACGTGCTAGTCCTCTTGCTTTTAGAATTTTGTTGTATCGATTTTTATTTTCTATTAAAATTGAGATCTTCCTTTACCAATTTCTTTAATATTTGATAATCTATTAAATGAAATCCATTCGATTGCGTCTTCATATGTAAGGGCTCTAAGTTGGAACTGTTTTATGCTATCGTCAATATCCTTACTTCCACTTGACCACCTTGTTGTTATGTCAGGGTCGCATGTTAGACACCATGCTGGTTACGTGTTATCTTCATTACAATGCGCACATTTCCCATATTTAGAGTCGCTTTATAATCATAATATATATAAATATATAATGCTATGTTATTTTAAACTTAAATCGGATGTAAATAATTTTTACTTACCGACTAATGAAATGATTTAAAGGGTATTACGTAATGTTAAATAAGTATTTACGCACT